TCTTGTCGGTGACATGGAGCACTCTCTTTCAGAGGAGCAAGTCCAAGATCTTGCTAATGCTACACATGGTTTCGTCGGAGCTGATCTAGCTGCCCTTTGTGACGTGGCATCCTTCAATTTTCTTAGGCGCAATGTCAAATTTAAATACCCAAAAGATACAACACACGTATCAAGGGATTATTCAGATTCCACATGTTCATCTGTCTCACATTCCAAGGGAACAAATGCAAATGGTGATAATTTTCTGAATGGCATAGAAGAAGAATGTGTCTTCAAAGTGTCTTTTGAAGATTTTGAAAAGGCCAGGATGAGAGTGGGGCCCAGTGCCATGCGAGAGGTAGGGTCAATACTTCCATGTTTACATGCAGTCATTTTTGTTTAATCTATGTTGGGTACCAAAGTTCCAGGATCCCTAAACTAGTTTAATTGAAGTTAAGGTTCCACTTTCTCTTTATGGGCAAGCACAGATCAAATGGCCAGCTATTTGAGTCCAACTTCTCCTCTTATAGAACTACTAGACAATAGGAGTTATTTATTTTTATTGGATTGACAGTTCGAAGAGAGTACTTTTCTGAGTTCAAAATGAGAACTTTTTAGTGGTTTGATTATTTATACATATCATGCGCCATGTTTTGGACTAACCATTTAATAATGATGCAAGTGGCCACTGCTATCATAAATTATGTTGCCCTATAGACTGTCATTGGTAGGAAACTTTTCTATCAGCAGGCATGAAGGAATGTTTCTCACTGATATAACTACTCTGACTCTTAATTTGTTGCTTTAAACTTCTAGGTAAAACTTGAGATTCCGAAGGTTAATTGGGAAGATGTTGGTGGTCAAAGGGAGGTCAAAAATAAGTTAATGGAAGCTGTAACATGGCCCCAAAAACACCAGGATACATTTAAGCGGCTAGGGCAATGGCCCCCAGAAGGGGTTCTGATGTATGGTCCTCCTGGATGCAGCAAAACCCTCATGGCTCGCGCTGTAGCTTCTGAAGCACGGATGAATTTCCTTGCTGTGAAGGGTCCAGAACTTTTTAGCAAATGGGTTGGTGACTCTGAGAAGGCTGTGAAATCCCTGTTTGCAAAGGCAAGGGCTAATGCCCCAGCAATCATATTCTTTGATGAAATTGACGGTCTTGCTGGTATTCGTGGGAAGGAAAGTGATTCAGTTTCAGATAGGGTTATAAGTCATCTGCTTGTTGAATTGGATGGTTAGTAACAGTTCTAAATTATTGGATCTAGAGTAGGTTCTATATTAGCCAGGATGCTCACTTAAAGTAATCATTATTTTTGCTATTGTATCTTTGACTTGATCGATACTGTTAAAATTAGGTGTGCATGCAAGAGATAATGTCACTGTTATTGCTGCTACAAATAGGCTGGACAAGATCGATAGTGCCCTTCTAAGACCAGGTGCTACATCTCTCTCTCTCTCTCTCTCTCTCTCTCTCTCTCTCTCTCTCTCTCTCTCTCTCTCTCTCTCTCATACACACACACACACACAGACAAATACACATCTTCTGTAACCTTCACATTCACCCACATCAAGGTGGTCGAGTTTTCTACAAGCATCTTGCTATATCTCCACAAACTTGAAAAACACTCCTAAGTATATACTTCTTTTGAACAGGCCGCTTTGATTTGCTGCTACATGTGGGACCCCCAGATGAGCCCGATCGGGAAGAGATATTTCATATTCATCTACGCAAGATTCCATGCAGTTCTGATGTCAACATATATGACCTTGCTCGTCTTTCAGAAGGCTGCACTGGCGCTCATATATCGTTCATCTGCCGACAAGCAGCCGCTGCAGCTTTTAAGGTTTGATGGTTCCTAATTTTGTTGCATGAGTGTTTCTTTTCTAAATCTAATTAAATCATAATTATTTCTTCTATCAGGAGAACCTTGACGCCTCAAAAGTAAAGATGCAACATTTCAAGACTGCAATTAAACAAGTGAAACCAACAGAAATTCGGGTTCATCAAGAGCTATCAGAAAATTTTCGGGGATGTGTTGCTTCTAGCGCAAAAAGAACTACGCTCTCTGTCGTACTCCATATTTTTGTAACGTGCTTGTTATTTTGGTTGATATGCTGTAAGTGAATATGTTCTAGAACCTGTTATAGTGTTATACTAATTACAATTAAGCGCAACCCTGTTAAAGTTCTTTTGGAATTTTTAATCAGCCTACAATAGGGCTATTTTTGTTGAATGCATTTGAAGTATTGTGTGATTCTCGATCCCACTAATTGGTCCTGTATACTGTGGAAATGATCTATTTTCAAATTTACCTTTTGTATTGTGAGCTATGTAACAAGATAAAAATTCCAGCAATGACGACTGAGGTCCTTGGGGAATAAAATCACTCGATCGTATCTGATACTCAGATTGACAATACATCATGATCGAGTGGATTGCAGCAGTACTGATACAGCAGTAGGTAGTTAGATTGACAGGCCTGTCCGGATTGTTTGAGAAGTTGATTAAAACAAGAATTGAAGTTCAGCTTCTCGAGTTTTGTTCTAGGTTGTTTAGCCTTCATAGTGGGGATCATTCTAATTTTCGTAGTGAGGTGGGCAATACTGAAACTGTGAGCGGTATTTGAAATTTTCATTCATGGGTTTTTGTGTTTGTAAATTGTAATGATACTCTTATCGATAAAAGAAAATCGTGGAGAATATATATATATATATATATATATATATGGGGGCAGATCCGTGACATCATATTTTTGACACAATTTTTGGGTCATTAGATTACTCCACTTTTAATGGTTGAAATTAAATCTGACATGACAAATAGTTTTAATATTTTAAATAAACAATCATTAATTTTATTTTCTCTCTCATAAAAATAAAATAAAATAATTCTCTCTCTCCTCCTTTTTTTCTTGGAAACATAATCTCTTTTCTTGGTAGTATCCTTTTTTACTTGATACTCTAATCTCTCTTCTTTCTCACGCATAAACATACCCAAGTAAAGCCTCGCGAATATACTATTTTTTTAATATAAAAAAACCCAAGTAAAGCCGTGCGGCTATACTATTTATAAAGAAAATAAAAAGGTCTGCCTAGCTCCTAGGGGCCCATGTATGAAAACAAGTATATCCGTTTGGCTATACAATTTTTTTTATAAAAAAAAAAAAAAAAAAAAAAAAAAAAA